AGCATGCCAGGTCTTTGACCAGGTGCAGATGATAGTCCACGTTTTGCTGAGAATTATGGCAGCGACTTAAGATGGTCTCCCATAGTTCCCAAAGCCTAGGTTCCAAAACCCTGCAGGCCCCCAGTGCGATTTTCTCATACCGGTGAGATTCTGGGGCACCTTATTCCCATCTTGTCTGTACTTGACTTTGTCTCCCATGTACTTCACCACCCTTCAGATGCCCAAGCCTGAAACCCAGTGATAATTTCATCTCATGCCCCCGTAGCCAGGTACCCACCCAGCCTGACAACTCAGACAACCTACTTTTCTCTCCTCTCCTGCCTCTCTCTTTTTCCTTTTTTTTTTTTTTAAAAAAGATTTATTTATTTATTTAATGTATGTGAGCGCTCTATCTGCATGTACAACCTTATGCTGGAAGAGGGCATCAGATTCCACTGTAGATGGTTGTGAGCCACCATGTGTTTGCTGGGAATTAAACTCAGAACCTCTGGAAGAGCAACCAGGGCTCTTAACCTCTGAGTCATCTCTCTAGCCCTCTCTCTTTCTACAAGGTTTCATATACCTTGATCTGGCCTTAAACTCAATGTTCATCTTAGGCTGATCTTAAATCTTGGTCCTCCTACCTCCAATTTCCAAGCGATACATACTGTTGCAGGTGTGTTCCACCAGGCTGGGCTTCCTAGTTCCTATCTCTTCTCTCCCTTGCTTTCCTTCTCCCTGCCCTGCCTTCATCTCTCCATAGTTTGTCTTCCCATTGACCTCTGGGCTTGCTCCTCTCTTGCTTCTAAATGGTTCCAGTTACTAGAATGATCTTCCTAAGAAACAAACCTTTTTTTGTTTTACTTTGCTTTTTGAGATGTCCTGGAACTAACTAGCTCTTGTAGACCAGGCTGGCCTTGAACTCACAGAGAGCCACCTGCCTCTGCCTCCCGAGTCTTGGGGTTAAAGGTGTGCACCACCACCTCCTGGCAAGAGACAAATATTTTGATGCATAGGGCTTTTTTTTATAATAAGTTTTATTGATATTTATTGAGCTCTACATTTTTCTCTGCTCCCCTCCCTATCTCTTCCCTCCCCCCTTCAAACCTCCCCCAAGGTCCCCATGCTCCCAATTTACTCAGGAGATCTTGTCTTTTTATACTTTCTACTTCCCATGTAGACTAGATCCATGTACGTCTCTCTTAGTGTCTGCATTGTTGTCTAAATTCTCAGGGATTGTGGTTTGTAGGCTGGCTTTCTTTGCTTTATGTTTAAAAACCACCTATGAGTGAGTACATGTGGTAATTGTCTTTCTGTGTCTGGGTTGCCTCACTCAAAATAATGTTTTCTAGCTCCATCCATTTTCCTGCAAAATTCAAGCTGCCGTTATTTTTTTCTGCTGTGTGGTACTCCATTGTGTAAATGTACCACATTTTCCTTATCCATTCTTCGGTTGAGGGGCATTTAGGTTATTTCCAGGTTCTGGCTATGACAAACAAAGCTGCTATGAACATAGTTGAGCACATGTCCTTGTGGTACAATTGAGCATCCTTTGGATATATACCCAAAAGTGGTAATAGTGGGTCTTGAGGAAGGTTGTTTCCTAATTTTCTGAGAAATCGCCACACTGACATCCAAAGGGGTTGTACCAGCTTGCATTCCCACCAGAAGTGCAGAAGTGTTCCCTTTCCCCCACAACTTCTCCAGCATAAATTGTCATCAGTGTTTTTGATCTTGGCAATTCTTCAAGGTATAAGATGGAATCTCAGAGTTGTTTTGATTGCTGCATAGGACTCTTGACCAAATAAAATACAAAAAAAAAAAAAAAAAAAAAAAAAAAGAGCAGCCCTGCCCCCATTGCCCTCCAGGAAATGGTCTGGCATTTTCATGTCATAATCTGCCATGCCCTGGTCCATCTGGCCTCTCCTGGCAGCTGGCAGCATCTCCTGTGCTGGTCCAGCTTCTGCCACTGCCATACTGTGCCACAGAACCTGCTCTTTCTGTCATTGGACCCAGACTATCCCTTGACAACACTGAGCATGCTGTCTTGATTCAAACTGATTGAAACCACCAGAAAACAGAGCACCTTGCTCCAGGAGGAGGCAGGAGAAAGGGAAAGGGAGCCGCTGTAGACAATCAGCAGGTGGAAAATGCAGAGGAACCAGCTTTCTGTCTGTCTCTGCAGCCCTCAGAAGTCAAATCCTTTCTAGGCTGGAAGAGGCGGCGGCAGATACACACCGCACACCAGTTCCGAGAACACCCAGCAGAGGAAAATGACCCTTGTTTGCTGACTTTCTGCTAAGCATTCTGGAAGTGCTTAGCACTCTCAGTCTGGCAGGCCTGGTGCTAAACCAGCTGGCGGCAACAGAAATGACATTAGGATGGTGCAAGCCATGTTAGCACCCCCCATCCCAGCATCTGTACTCTGCATTATCTACAGTCTTCATTTATCTCATGTTCTCTCTCTCTCTCTCTCTCTCTCTCTCTCTCTCTCTCTCTCTCTTTCTCAGAACAGGCTGTGCTTTTTCTCTCATTTTATTTTTAGGTGTTTTGCTTGCATGTATGTGTCTGTACACTGCATGCATGTAGTGTCTGCATAGGCCAGAAGAGGGCAGTAGATCCCCTGGAATGGGAGTTACAGCTGCTGTATGCTACTCTGTGGTGCTGAGAATCAAACCTGGGTCCTCTGGAGGAGTAGCTGGTATTCTTATCTGCAGAGCCATTTCTCCAATGCCCAGTCTAGCTTTTTTTTTCCTTCAGAAATCCAAGTGTTTTTGCCTCTGAAACAGTGGTTCTCAACCTGTGGGTTGTGACCCTTTGGAGTTTAGCAACCTGTTCATAGGGGTCTTCTAAAGCCATTGGAAAACAGATATTACATCCAATTCATAACAGTAGCAATATTACCATCATGAAGTTGTAATGAAAATGATTTTCTGGTTGGGAGTCACCAAAACAGGAGGAACTATGCATGAAGGAGCTGAAGTATATGAAAGGTTGAGAACCTGGCATAGTAGAGCATGCCTTTAATCCCAGCGCTTGGGAGACAGAAGCAGGTGGATTTCTGTGAGTTCAAGGCCAGCCTGCTTTACAAAGCAAGTTCCAGGACAGCCAGAACTGTTACACAGAGAAACCGGGAAACCATGTCTAAAAACAAACAAAAAACAAAAACCAAACCAAACAAACAAAAAAACAACCAAAATAAATAAAAAATAGACAAACAAATAAATAAATGAAAGGAAGGTTGAGAGCTACTACATTTCAAAGCCTGAAATGTGGCCAAAAAGTAACCGCTTTGTCTATCTACCCCACCCCCAGACCAGAGCTCTCTGGCAGTCTGGAACTGTTGCGTACAGAATTATGGTCAACAAAAAATACCTAGGGATGACTGATTTATTCAGTTTATCAAATATATTTACAAACTATACAATCTTTAAACCAGGCATGGTGCTACAGACTTGTAATCACAGTACCTGAGAGGCGCTGGCAAGATGATCGCTTGTGGAAGGCTAAGCCTAAACTGCATAGCTAAGCCCAAGCAAAAGAAAACAAAGCCACAAGAAGCCCATACACCTTGTTACTGCTTTTAGGGAAAATAGTTGAGTGAGTGTCCTGCAAGAGTCACAGCCTGGAGGGTAACTAGAATTCCTCAGGTAGAGTGGGCGTGCAGCCAGAATTTACAGTATTCCAATACACTGTGTCAAAGATTATTCCACCCACATGGATTACTTTGTTTTCTAGTATCATAAACAATGTTATAATCAACATAGTTTTACACAGAATTTAGACATTATGTTATTTTCCTTTTGATAAATCCTTAAGTAGCCTGTATATTGAAAACAAACAAAAAATGACAGCGGGGGGGGGGGGGGGGGGCAGTGGCCCATGCATAGAATCTCAGCAATTTGGGAGGCTGAGTCTGGACAATCACTTTAGGCTAGGCGTTTGCTTCCAGTCTGGGCAGCATAAGACCCAGTCGTAAAAAAAAAAAAAAAAAAAAAAAAATAGTAGCGAGGCCAGGGAAATGGCTCAGTGCTTAAGAGCACTTGCTGCTCTTGCAAAGGACCTTGGGTTCAGTTCCCAGCACCCACACAATGGCTCACAGTCATCTATAACTCCACTTCAAAGGGTTCCAACACACTTTACTGGTCCTTGAAGGCACTATGACTGCACATGGTAGACGTACATACACGTAGACAAACACACACATAAAATTAATAAATCTAAAAAAATTAAATGAATAAATAAATGAATAAAAAACCAGAAGGCTTCAGCTCTTGGATCTGCTCCTATATGGTTATGGTTCTGCCCCCTCCCTTGTTTGTTTGTTTGTTTGTTTGTTTTATTTTGCTTTTTGAGACAGGGTTTCTCTGTGTATTCCTGGCTGTCCTGGAACTCACTCTGTAGACCAGGCTGGCCGGAACTCAGAGCTCCACCTGCCTCTGTCTCCTGAGTGCTGGGATTAAAGATGTGCACCAATACTGCCTAGCTGTCTCCTCTCTTGTAGTGGGGGAAACTGTGCTGCTTTGGCTCTTAGAGCGAGGCAGGAGTGACGATATGTGACTTCGGAGGTCAGGCCTTTGAAAATGCATGCAGTGCCCACTCTAGTTTTCAGAACCTTCCCTTCTGACTCCTTTGAACTCAATTGTGAATTATGTAAGTGGCATCCCATAGGAGCCCAAATCTCAAGTCAGGCTCAGGCCAGGCACCAGAAATGCAAATGTCAAAACCTCACAATATTTGGGCTTGAAGTTTTGCAGGGAGGGGTATATATATAAAACTCACCTGCTTCTGCCTCCAAACTACTGGGATTAAAGGTATATATCACCTAAGACATGTTTTTTTTTGTGTGTGTGTGGGTTTTTTTTGTTTTTTTGAGACAAGATTTCTCTTGTAATGTTGGAGTCTGTCCTGGAACTCTTGTAGACCCGGTTGGTCTTGAACTCACAGAGATCTGCCTGCCTCTGCCTCCCGAGTGCTTCTGAATTAAACTTTTATGGCTTAACAATAAGTAAACATTTGTCAGCTGTGAGAGAGTCTCGCAGCACACAGTGGGGAAGGCGTACCCCTGTCCTTACCATGAATAAGTTTACCACTAGGTCTGCACTCAGTTGCAGTTCCTGGAAACTGACCTGGATTGTGACAGTTGCTGGGGAGGATGTCAGAGAAGATGTGATGTGGAGAAGGCAGGAAGGCAAGCCTGGGAGAGGCAGAAGCCAACTGGACCCGAAGCAGTGGTAGGAAGAGGTCTCGGCTCTCATCTCACAAAGGACTCTGAAGTCAGACTGGCCCTTCAGAGGAGCTGCGGTCGAAGCGAGGTCATGCTGGCCACTGCGACTTCCCATCAGACAGTCACAGGCCATGGCCACACTAGAGCAAGGCCAGAGTGAAGACTTCTGCAGTTGGGGAATACCTGGGGAGAGGCAGCAGGCCAGCCGCGTGCCACACAGCTCAGGAGGGGTGAGTCAGCCTTGAAGTGGGACTCCAGGAGAACAGGGATACGCATAGTCCATCCAGGGACTTGCCCTTCTCCAGGCTCCTGCTTGAGTTTGCTTCCTGTAAAATTTTAGTCTTGGTTGTACTTTTGTTTTGGTTTTGAGGCAGGGTTACACTCTGTAGCCCAGGCTGGCTGAATTTGTGATCCTCTTGCCTCAGCCCCGCTCCAAGTGCTGGGGCTATAGGCAGGTGCCCTCACTCCTGGCTAACTTCCGATGACTCTTAAAGGAGAAGGTTAGAGTACTGGCCACAGCACTGGGGGAGAAGTCCCTTTTCAGGCCTCAACTGATGCTGCTACTGCTAGTTTCTTCCACTCCTGAGCAGGCTCCTCTGAGCATGTTTGTTTGAGACAGGTTTTCTCCATATAGTCCTGGCTGTTTTGGAACTCGCTTATAGACCAGGCTGGCCTTGAACTCACAGAGATCTGCCTGCCTCTGCCTCCAGAGTGCTGGGATTAAAGGTGTGCATCACTACCAACCACCCAAGATTTAATTCTTTATGAAAAAATAAGCAAGCACATTTATTTACTTCATGTTAAATTTGCTTTCATCCAGGTCTGCTCTTCCAGAGGACTTGGGTTCAATTCCCAGCATCCACATAGTAGCTCACAACTAGCCATAATTTTAGTTTTAGGGACTCTGACACCCTCTTTTTGTCCACGAGCACTGTATGCATGTGGTATATAGGTATACATGCAGATAAAACACACATTATACAATAATTAAAAAATTTTGAATTTGCCAGAAGGTGGTGGTGCACACCTTTCATCCCAGCACTTGGGAAGAAGAGGCAGGTGGATCTCTGAGTTTGAGGCCAGCCTGGTCTACACACTGAGTTCCAGACAAGCCAGGACTATATAGTAAAACCTTGTCTCAAACTAACAAAATAAAACAGAAACAAATAAATCGCTTCATCCTTAATAACTGGTAAATTTATTTGTATGCCAAATAATTTTTAAAAATAGATCTCTTAATATCTTTTCTTATATTTATTTATTTTGATTTATGTGTACGAATGTTTCGCCTCTGCGTATGTCTGTATGTTATTTTATGTGTACAAGTTTTTTGCCTTTGTGTATGTCTGTATGTGCATCGTGTGCATACCTGGTGCCCACAGATGTCAGAACTGAGTGTCAGGTTCTCTGAAATGGGAGCTATAGATAGTTGTAAACCACCATGTGAGTGTTGGGAACCAAACTCGGGTCTTCTGAAAGAACAGTAAGTACTCTTAACCCCTTAGCCATCTCTCCAGCCCCCATATCAATTGCTTTATGCTTTATTAGCAGTAACTGTTTATTTGTATACTTTTTAAATATTTGTATTTTATTATGTCTCTGTGTGTCTATATGTGTTTGCACATAGGTGTTTTTGAAGCCCAAAAGAGTATATCCAATACCTTGAATCTGGAGGTACAAGCGACTATGAGCCACCAACTGATGTGGGTTCTGGGAATTGAACTTTGGTCCTATGAAAATGCAGCAAGTTCTCTTAACCAGTGAGTCATCTCTCCAGCCCCTACAATATACTTATTTTATACACCTGTGTATTTGAAGTTGCATATAATTTTTTGGGAAAAAATACCGCATACGTAGGAAGAAGTTAAGTAGCTCCATTGGGTTCATACAACAGGTACAGAAGCTCCCCTTAAAATGATGTGCCCCTGGGTGACGTGTGACCATGCCTTGATGCCGAAGGCAGTTCCTACGGGAATTCTCTTGTGGACTGTCACGAGCTGTTATCCCCAGAAGCTGACAATCACGCTGGAGGTACCACCATGGCATCCGTGGACACATCTCAGGTTTACCTGCCTCCTTTCAAGTGGGGGACCACACAGCTTATTGGCATGGATGTTAGAAAGGAAATGAGGCAAGGCATGTTTAAAATCCTGAAATTGTACTCTGTGAATATGAGTTTCTATTCTCTATTTCAAAAGTATTTATTTGCTATTTTTATCTACGTGTATATGCACATGCCTGCATGAGTTTATATGTATTACATACATGCAGGTGCCTGCAGGGGCCAGAGGGGGTTCAGTCCCCTAGAACAGGAGTTACAAGTTGTGAACTGCCTAATGATGAGTGCTGGGAATCAAATCCTGGTCCTCTTCAAGGGAAGTAAATGTTCTTAGTGACTTAGCCATTGCCCCAGTTCCATCTACTCCCTTTATATCAAGAGCTTTGTATTGTATCCTGTTTCCCTTTTTGTCTTGGTGAGCAGGGAGTTTTCATGCTCATTTGTTGTAAAAATATCCAGGCTAGCTAAGGATAAAACAATTATATTTTATTTATTATAAGGTGAATTCTCTTGTGGTCTCACAAAACAGGAAACGAGAAATCCAAGCACAGCAATGTCCCACAGGTAAAAGGCACAGAGAGCACACACAGAGGTGCACACCTTTTTACCTGAGTCCCAGTGAAGCCACGCCTTACCTAAGACCCACCTCTTAAAGATTACAGTTAACAAGGCTTTCCCCACCAATTTGTTGGATATATATATCCATTTTTTTTTTTTTTTTTTTTTTCCTTTTTTTTTTTTTTTTTTTTTTTTTTTTTTTTTTTTTTTTTTTTTTTTTTTTTTTTTGTATTTTCGAGACAGGGTTTCTCCGTAGCTTTTTGGTTCCTGTCCTGGAACTAGCTTTTGTAGACCAGGTTGGCCTCGAACTCACAGAGATCCGCCTGCCTCTGTCTCCCGAGTGCTGGGATTAAAGGCGTGCACCACCACCGCCCGGCTTCCATTTGGTTTTTGAGATATGTTTTCTCTGTGTAGCTCTGGCTGTCTTGGAGTTCACTCTATAGATCAGGCTAACTTCGAACTCCCAAAGATCCATCTGCCTCTTCTTCCCAAGTGCTGGGACTAAAGGCGTGCACCACCACCACTAGGCCATATTTCTCTTTTTCATTTTTATTATTTTCTTGATCCTGATTTCCTTTTCTTCTCTCTTTCACTAACCTTCAGCCCAATTCTTTTGTTGCAAAACCTCTCTTTGCATCAGAATCATGTTTGTAGAGTCCCAAGGAAATGCCTTGTGCGGTGAACACAGCTCATTTCTGAGACACCATATTGACTTACCTAGAATACTGCCCCAGCATCTTGCTGAAACCTTGCCTTGATTTGTTTTGACATCAGCCAGCCAACCTACCAGCCACTGGCAACTAGGCATGGGAATTCAGTGTGACTCATACAGCTCTGACAAGTTGAAGAAATAAAAAGCAGGTACCAAAACGTGTGTGTGTGGGGGGTCAGTGTTATGCAGCCCATCAGTCAGAAGGCCCTGCTCAGGAACCTCCTTCCTGCCTCTTCCCTCGCTTCCCAGCCATTTCTACCCACTTCAGACTGCTCAGCAGTTCTGCCCTACCATTGAAATAATTGAAAATTAGGGGACAGAACCTCCACCCCCTCACCGGCCATCCACAAGGCGCTTCCTTTCTCCTTGATTCCCTTTCACTAATCCACCCTATCCCTGAACTGAGCCTGGACACCCCCAATCTGACCCCACCCATCCAGTGAGCACCTACCCCAATCTGTGTAGGGTCTGCCTGGTCCACGCCCATCCTTAACCTCTGCAGATTTGCCGCTTCTGTCCTGGGAGTTTCTTGCTCCAATCTGCTCCATTCATGCCCCCTTGAAGCTGGGGCCCAGCTGAGTCCTTGCACAGCAGGCTGCCCCTGACTTTGGCCCCTGACCTCAAGGCACCTGGATGACTTAGTCTCGGAATCCGTCAGACTCCACCAGGTAGGCACACTGGCGTCTCTCTGCCCTTCACTGTTCCCAGGATAATCCTGTCATTGAGCTGCCGCCTTCCTACCCACCTTCCTGCCTGGGGAAGCCTCTGCGTGCCACCCTCCCACTCTTGTTTCCATGTATGAGATGAGCCACGCTCAGGAATAACGCTTGCAGATAGCAGACACTCGCGCGGAGGAGTTTCAAATGCCCGTCACTCATGCACGGCTCTCGCTGCGTCCACCCTTCTTCATGTCTACTCAGGGTTAAGGAAGGCCCTCAGTCTCCCAGGACCCGGGCATCTGCTCTCACAAAGTGCTTCCTCTTGCAAGTACACCATGCCCTAGTGAGTCAGCATGGGCTTGTGTTGGGGGAAGACTATGGGGTTTAGCTTCTGGGTGTCCACATGGTGAAGCTCTGGGGTGAAAGATATATTTCTTTATTTTTAATTTTGATTACCTTTCATTTATCTTGTATGCATGTGGGCATGTGTGCTCAACGCTGTGAGTATGGAGGTCAGATGACAACGTGTGGCAGTTGGTTCTGTTCTTCCACCATGTGGCTCTGTGGCTTGAGTTCAGGCCATCAAGCTTAGCGGCAGACTCCTGGGTCCACCCACTGGGCCATTTCACCAGCTTCAAGGAAAAAAAAATTTATACAACAGCGACGATGATGGAGTCAGGATGCCCAGAGTCCAACCTTATCCTGCAACCAGATATTGGGGTGGCGGGGGTGGGAGGACAGACAGACTCATTACAGTTTCTCTCTAAGCCTCAGCTTCCTTTCCTGGAAACTGGGTAAGATGCTACCTACTTTTGGGTTTGTTGTGACAGTCTAATAACATGTATTTGAATGTCACCTAACGTTTCCTGCTCGTGCATCAGGTCAGGTACTTGACCAAGCAGGCGGTGGCTGTCATCCCACTCAATCAGCTGCAGCCCCAAGACCTTGTGTGGCCACCGCCTTTTACAGAGTGGAGGCTGGGGTTCATGGGACAACAGCAGGGCAGGAGATAGCAGACTATGAGGCCTCACAAGCTCGGGCTTCTCTGCCGCCAGGTCAGAGCACGGCACTCCCACTGAGACCAGTCTTTGATGCTCACACAGCTGCATGATGGGGATTTTACACACACAGAGAAACTGAGGTGACCACTTACTGTGACGCGCTTGACCCTTCTGCTCAGTGCTGTACCCAGAGAATGGCATCACAAGCCCGCTTTCCAGATGTGGAAACTGAGACTCAGGGAAGGTGAAGGACTGTGTGTCCTCCTTCCTGCCACCTTCTCCCACCACGACTCCCCTAGGGGCTGTCTGCATCTGGGATGTACAACCTCTTTCTGTGAACTCCCTTGATCCACCCCTAGCCCAGAGAGGAAGTGAGGCCCCTTGAGAGGTTGGTGGTAACTGGCTCACATCAGAAAAGGTATAGCTGCTCTGAGCAGCTGTTTCTGGGGAAGGTTCTGGAGCAGGACAGCCCTTTGACTCTGGGGTCTGCTCCTTAGGTGGGGGCACTGGGCTGAGCAAAATTAGATCTTAGAAGCCAGGAGCCAGGGGAGGCATCAAAAGTAGTGTGTGTGTGTGGGGAGAACTGAAGGGACAAACAGAGAGAGACAGAGCACAGAAGTCAGAGGTAAAGGAGTAAGGGGAGGGAGGGAAGCCCTGTCTAAGATACAAAACAGCAGATGAGGGCTGGGCGATAGCTGAGCAGGTAAAAGTGGGTAAAGACCCTGCTGACAAACTCGATGACCTGAGTCCAGTCTCTGTGACCCACAGGATGGAAAGAGAAACCAAGTCCCATGACTTGTTTGCAAGCCTGCACATGCATGCTGCAGTGCTTGCATGGCCACACACACACACACACACACACACACACACACACACACACACACTCAAGGCTGCAATAAATGCTGTGGTGCTTGCATGCCTACATACACACACACAAGTCTGCAATTCATGCCTTGGTGCTTGCATGCCTACACACACACACACACACACACACACACAAAAGTGTAAAAAAAAACAAAAACAAACAGCTGTTGAGGTTAAGAGGGAAGACAGGAGAAGGCAGGAAGGGAGAGGGAAAGAGGAAAGCATACTCGCCCCCCCCTTCCCACCCCCTACCCTGTGTCATGTCGTGCCCTCCTCGCCACCCCCCCCCACCCCCCGCCCAGTGCTAGCACTATTTATTCTCTCCCAGGTCAAGTACCACTGCAGGCACGAGGGATCCAGCAATGAACAGAACAGGTAAAATCTCTGGCCTTGTAGGTGACTAAAGAGGTCTTGAGACAGGTAAAAACCCAGCGAGGAGACCACTGAAAGAGACAGAGGGACAGCAGGGCGGAACAGGAGGCAGGGATAGAGGAGGAGGCAGAAATGAAGAGTAGTTGGGGGGGGGTAGTAGTGGCAGAAAGCCGAGGGAGGGCCAGGTCTGCTGGGCTTCCCCTGAAGAAATCCTTTCTGTAAGCCTCCCTGTGCCACCAGGCTGGGGGGACTTGGCCTGCTCATTGCCCCCTCTCATGTGCTCCAGGATTTAATGACCAGGAAACAAGTCCTGGGTTCCAGGGCCTCAGCTCTATAAAGAGAAGCCTTGGAGGCTGGAAGCTCTGCCCTGAGCTGGCAGGCTCCTGAGACACTAACCAGGCATCTGTTGACTTCAGGCGCTGTCAGCTCAGAGGTAAATTAAGGCCCAAGCTGACTGGTGAGATGGTGGCTTGGATGTTCTGGGTGGGGTCAGCCCCAGAGATAGGTTGTGGTGTTGCAGTGGGAGCCAGGTGGATGTGGCCTTGATGGAGCCCCCACAACCCTGTTGTGTACGGCACAGGAGAGTAAGTTTGGAAGAGACCTATGTTGAAAAGCTGGGACTTTGACAATTGCCGCTGTCTGTTTCCGTGGAAACGGGAGTCAGAAGCAGAGAAGGAACCTGTGGGCTCTGCTTTAGGTGCCTCAGATAGTGAGGGGAGAGGAAGGACTCCTCAGTGGTGGTCTCTGGACCTCCTCTACTGTGGGTTGAGGAAGGAAAGCTGCTACCTAGGCAATGTCGGCTCCTCCTTCAAGCCGCAGCTGTGAGCCTGCCTACTGGGGACTCTGAAGCAGGAACACCTCCAGGCAGAGGCTGAAGCCACTTAGCTGTGTAGGCTCCTCCTCCTCAACCCCCCAATCTTTAAAATGTTTCTGTTGCATGTGAGTGTGTATGTGTGGGTGGTTTCTGCACACCACTGCACAGTGTGGAGGTCAGAGGACAGCTAGAGCAGACGGTGTGTCTTGCCACCATTTGGGTCCTGGAGATGGAACTCAGGTCACTAGGTTTGGTCGCAGACACCTCTACCTGCTTAGCCATCTCATTGGCCCTTGGTTTTTGCCTTTTGAGACAGAGTCATTACAACCAGTCACTCTGGCCTCCAATTCTTTAGGTCGCTGAGGATGACCTTGAACTTCTCACGTTCCAGCCTCTACCTCCCCTGTGCTGCTGGTATTGTAGCCTGCATCACTACTCCAGGTTCAGGCAGTGACGGGAACAGAGTCCAGAGTTTTCTGCAGACTAGGTAAGCCCTCTCTTCAAGTCCTCTTCTTCCCCACTTCTTAGAGACTCCATGTGGCACTGTCCTCTGCCTTTAGCCCCACTAGCCTTTATATGGGCACCTGCCAATCACCGTCTACACAGCTCTACCCTCTGCTGTCTTCAGCCTAAAACAGCCAACCCTTGCTCCTGGGATGATGGGGCGTCCTTTGTCACCTCACAGGCAGACTTCTCACCAGAGGTTTCTTGTTGCCATTCTCTCTCCTCCTCCTCAACTGTCTGGATCTAGTTTCTGGTGCCATCGCTCCCCCAAAACTGCTGTCAGCGGGCTTACCTCACCCTTCACAGAGCTCTTTCCCAAGCTGTTTGGGCCACTTCCTCCCTGGAGTGCTGTTCTCCTGGTTCCCTGTCGTCAACCACTCTGAACAGCCCTCCTTGGTCCCCCACCGGCTGCTCTTTCATTGTTGGTGCTTCTCGGAGCTGCTGTGGTCCAGCTGCTCCCTGGAAGGGCCTATCAGCGCCCAACACAGTCTAGTCAAGGTCATACTCCCTGACCCCCAGCCCAACTTAGCATTCCTACACTGTCCACAGGGGCCGTGTGCTCCATCACTGTCCTGTCACCTGAGATCACAGACAGTACTTGAGCTGTCTGCTTCCTCACAGAGGGACCATGGCTCTCTTATTTACACATCTGTCCCCAGGACCCAGAGCAAACCCGTGGCAAGAAGCAGGTACAAAGAGGCAGAGGCCGATGTGGTTTTCATGCTGAGGGGCGTGGACTCTGTCCTGTAAGAGATAGAAAGCCACTGACAAGCAGGAACAGGACAGAGTCTCAGACCTGTGCTTGGAGTGGGTGTCGCTGCTGACGAGGGAGAAGGCAGAGACGCTGCAGAGATGTGGTAGCATGCTGCATGCTGCATGCAGCATGCAAGCAAGTCGGTGGGGCCCGTGCAGAACCAGGACTGGACTGCTGCAGAAAGAGGCGAATGGCGGAGGGTGACCCGGATGAAGAATGCTTCGTAGGTCCAGTTGATCAGCTTGGCACTGGCTAGGGTCAGGGTGAGACAGTCAGTCTCCAGCTTGCCGGCCTGGTGGCTTGGGAGAGGTTGGTGCTCAGTATTAGGATGGAGATGAGCTACAGGAATTGGATGGGGAGAGATGTATAGTCCAGTTCCGGCCCAGCTGAACTCAGGGCTCCTGAGTGACATCAGTGGGAAGACCTTGTGTTGAAATGGGTGGTGCTGGTGCTGAGGAGAACCATCAGTACCAGTGGGGTGGATCTAGGGGTGGGTGCTGTGGAGGTCAGGGGCACTGCGAGCAAGGACAGAACCAGGGAAGAGCTAGTTTTGATGGATTATGCTACCAATGCATATGTGTATGTATACACACACACATGTATATATGGTTGTTTTTTTTTTTTTTCAAGACAGGATTTCTCTGTGTAAAAGCCCTGGTTGTCCAGAGTGTTGGGATTAAAGGCGAGTGCCACCACCGCCTGGCGTTTATATGGTCTTACTCTTAGTCTGGGCTGGATTCTCTGTCACCTTGATGACCTTGTATTTGGGATCCTCATGCTTCAGCTTCCTGGGTGCTGGGATCAGAACCATGTGACACCATATTGTTTAAAATTCTACGAATCTACCCGCTTCTGACAATTGATTTTGGAATCGGCATGTGATGTTGGCACAGAATGAGGAGCAGGCACGCGGATGGGCTCAGCCTCCAGTGCTGTTCTTATGAAAGGATCATGCCAGGCACCCCTTGAGCGGGGACACTTGTGGGGCTCACAGACGTTGCACCCTGAAACTAAGCTGTGTGGCTGGTGGAAGGCCAGCGAGTGAGAAATAAATGGCTTTTATGATAAGCCGCTAAAATGTGGGGACTGTTGTCTAGCACTGTATCCTCAATGGCCTGGCTATTAACATTTTAAGTGGAGATTGAAGGAAAAGAATCTTTTAAGGTAACAGGAAGAACAGAGAGAGGGGAGAGGGGAAAACCAGGAGAGGTAGGGCTTGGCATTAGGTTGAGGGGCAAGTTCTAGAGTTTTGGAACCTTGAGCTCAGACACAGGGAGGCAACATTTTTGCATATATAAAAGCAAAGTGTACAACAAAACGAAAATGAAAAAGAAGAAAAAAGGTCGGGCAGTGGTGTCGCAAGCCTTTAATCTCAGTACTTGGGAGGCAGAAGCAGGTAGATCTCTGTTCAAGGCCAGCCTGGTCCCAGGTTAGCCAGGACTGTTTCACAGAGAAACCCTGTTTCAAAACAAACAAACAAACAAACAAACAAACAACAACAACAACAAAACCCAATAAAGCGAAGTGTGGTGGTCTGTGTTTGTAATCTCAACATTCAGAGGGCCAGGCGGTAGCATTGGCCAGTCTGTGAGTTCTGGGCCAATCTGGACTACAGAGTAAAGATAAGAATCTTTAGCTATATGGTGTGCTGGGTTCCTTAGCCATTCCCCAGGGCTTGATCTACACTCCAAATATTGGTGACTCTCCAGACCTCTTCCTGGGCTGCAGACCCATCTCCATCCCCCACAGACCTCTAATGGGCTTTTCAAACTCAACCCACACAGGACTGACCTTGCGGACTGCCCCTTAGACTGTTCCCTTACTAGATTCCCTGAGCAGCACTATGGGCACCCACACCAGAGGCCAGGGAGTCCTCCATGTCCCTTCTCCAGATGACAGGTTCAGGAAGTGCTTTACCCATTAGCATCCTTTGCCCTAGCCCCAGGGCCTCTTGGAGCCTGTGGGTGAACTGAGAGACAGAACTGTCTCCAAACTCCTTGCCATTACCCTGGTCCCCAGCTCCTTCCCAGCACAGAGCATCCCTTCCTGGCTAAATCACCAGGGCTCCAGCAGGACAGAACCAAACTTCTTAGGGTGACACCAAGGACCTAAATGCCGACACAAGCACTAATTCCCGGAGTTCTCTCTGTCCCACCCTTCCTCATGCCTACCCAGGTTCCTGAGGGGCAGTTGCCCTAGCCCTGTCCCACCCACTCCCTGGCTAGCTCAAGCATAATCTGGATCTCAATTTTAGGTTGCCCCTTTGATGCCTCACCATGTCCCCAGCAAACAACTCTCGTGCCCTTTGCCTGAGTGAAAAAGCTCAGTTTCCTTGCATTAAAAAAAGCATGGTAAAATACACATACCATGAAAGGACTTTAATTACTTTAACGACACGGCTGTGTGGCCCTGAGTCCATTCACACTGTTGGGCACTTGTCACCACGTCCAGAGTCTTCTCATCTTCTCAAGTTGGGACTGGATCTACTGAACAACCACCAAGTCCCTCTTCCGGCATCAGTCCTGAGTGTGACGTCTAACACGCGTGGACTCATTCAGTGTGTCTTCTTTAGCGTTCTATGTTAGTTAACCTGCCTCTAAGTCACCCATGTTGAAGCATAAATAAGAATTTCCATTTATTTATTTATTTCGTGACAGGGTCCGTATCCTAGATTCCTAGTCTGGCCTTGAATTTGCTAAGTAGCTGGGGATGACTGAATTCTTGCTTCCTCCCCACCTCCCAAGCGTTGAGATTATAGGTAGTTACCACTATAACCACCTCTTTTTGTTTTTTTTTTTTTTTTTTTTGAGACAGGGTTTCTCTGTGGCTTTGGAGCCTGTCTTGGAACTAGCTCTTGTAGACCAGGCTGGTCTCGAACTCACAGAGATCCGCCTGCCTCTGCCTCCCGAGTGCTGGGATTAAAGGCGTGCGCCATTTTGCCGGTCTTCTTTTTGAAGGTTTTTTTTTTTCTTTTTTTTTCCTTTTGGAGACAGGGGTTCCTTATGTAGCTTATGATCTTCCTGGCTTAGCCTTTTGATTATAGGGGTATGTTGCCACGCCCCTTCAAAATCTCCTTTTTTCCCCCCTTCCCCACAACCCCTCCCCCATCTCCCTCCTTTATAAGACTGAGTACTACTCCGTGACATGTCTCACATTTTGTCTATACCTGTGTCAGTGGACAGTTGATGGTTTTCAGCTTCTGGCCCTCAGGACAGTGCTGCCATGGACACGGATGGACGGCATTTGGACCCCTTGCCGTTAGTACTCAGAAACAGAATCACGGTTCTCAAGGTGACTCTCCACAATTCTTTGTTTGTGTCCTGCAGCACCAACAGTGCAGAAGGATGCGTCTGTCTCCACATCCTCCACATTCCCCACTTCCTGTTTCCCCTGGGTGGCCTTGCTTTTTGGTAACAGCCACCCTGTTATGGGTATGACTCCAGTCTTTGCTCAGCTGCGTGATCGCTGCACCGGTACCTGGCAATCCCTCCTGAGCCAATTCTTGTCTTCTGTCTTGGGCATTCTCTGACACCATAGCCAGAAGACTTCTAGAATCCACGGACTTTCTGCTGTTGCCTTCGGGGGCCGGCTATCCGTAGTTCTCCCAGGCGGAGTTCTTCCCTGCTGCAGATCCCCTCTGGATCCTGAAACATCTCACTCCACCCCCCTTACTTTCTTCTCCTGCTTCCTTCCTCTAGAACACAGAGTTAAGGTCACCTCCTCGGAGAAGCCCTCATTCCGCACCCAGCCCTTCTCCACCCAATCAGCCTGCTGTTCTTCACTCTTGTGGGGTTGGTTGTCTACTCTCTTCTGATTGTTCCTAGCACTTGGCACAGTTTGTAAGGACTTAAGTACCTATATGCCTGCTGAATTAACCTTGTCTTCTCTGCAGGGCTCTTAGCTCCACGCAGACAGGAGCTTGAGACATCGCTCTCGGGAACGGCTCAGTGCCCTGACAACGCTAGGTGACCAGAATACCCTTGCTAAATGGAATCGGTCAACGGTCAACTTTAAGATAAATCCCCCCCCCCCCCCAGTGCTTATACCTTAATGAGGGAAGTAGGTGAGAAAATAAATAAATAAATAAACACCTACTCTGGCAGGTGGCGGTGGTTGCTATGGAGACCTGATCAGACCAGGAGTCTCTTTAGGTTCCTTAGTGAGGGGGTTGGAGCTGCTGACCTGGGGGAAGTGAGGGACTGGAACCTGGGTAAAAAAGTGTTCCCAAGAGGAGACAGCACAAACAAAGGTGCTTCAGGGAATGAACACACTTGGCTTATGATTCAGGACATGAGGAGCACACTAGCCAGATGAGGGCACAGCTTCTAAGAGGCTGGAAGTGGGAAGGGAGGCCCCACAGAAGGGCCGGTGGAAGGAGGAGCCACCGCAGTCAGTGGCAGCTTTCTCTCCCAGTCACCTGGACAGGGCCCGACCTTTACTTTCTGATGCTCTCCTGGACTCTGAGCACATAGTAGGTGCTTTCTAGCTCAAACTAGACCCATTCTGTACATTTCCGACAATGTGTTTACTGCAACACTGACTTAGACTTAGGATGGGTGCTACTGAAAGACACTCTAAAGCACATTTAACTTTCAACTTTTTTTTTCTTTTTTTGGTTTTTAGAGACAGGGTTTCTCTGCAGCTTTGGAGCCTGTACTGGAACTAGCTCTTATAGACCAGGCTGGCCCCGAACTCAGAGTGCTGAGATTAAAGGTGTCCGTCACCACCACCCCACTTGACTTTAAACTTTAATTCATTTTTTTCTTCTTCTTTAGTAATACCTATTTGCTGACATCCTGCCTCTGCTGGGATTCAAGGCATTTGCCACCTCTGCCAGGCCTGGAATCATTTATTTATTTATTTATTTATTTATTTATTTATTTATTTATTTATTTTTAAAACAGGGTTTTATGTAGCTCAGGGGGCCTGAAACTCATTATATAGTGAAGGTTGGCTTTGAACTCCTGAACCTTCCTGCCTTTACTTCCCAGAGTGCTGGAATTACAGGTGTGGAATCACCATACTGTGTAGCTAGTGATCACTNTTTTTTTTTTAAAAATTTTTTTTTTTTTTTCTTTTTTTTTTTTTTTTTTTTTTTTTTTTTTTTTTTTTTTTTTTTTTTTTTTTTTTTTTTTTTTCTGGGCTGTGGTGGTGCACAACTCCAGCACTTGGGAGGCATCGCAGGTGGATTTCTATGGTTGAGGCCAGTTTGGTCTCCAGAGTAAGTTCTAGGACAGTCAGGGCTACATAGAGAAACCCTGTCTTGAAAAAACTAGTTATCTAAGTATCTATCTATCTTATCTGTCTGTCTGCCTGTCGGTGAGTGCCAGCCCTCTACAACCACAGCAAAAACTCTTAACTGTGGAGCCATCTCTCTAGCCCCAATAATCATCTTTCTTTTCAGTTTGCAGAAACTCTCCCCAGTCCTGACCTCTGCTGGGTCCCCAACAGGTGTCTCAAAGGGCTGCTTTGCTTCTTACCTGCAGGACCGCAGGACCGTGGGCTCAGACAATGCTCAGATAGCCCGGAATGTGATTATCTCTTCCTTCGGTCTGTCCTCGCCTTTGACACAGACAGGAATACCCTCGCGGCTCTGCACTGGCTATCTCTGGCTATCTCTTGCCCAAGCCTGCCAGCAAAGCACTGAAGTAGGACCTGGAAACCAGGTCTTTGGGTGCTGGAATTCACACTCTGCCCAGGGAGTCCCTGATGTCCTTGGGGGAAATTACTGCCCAAACCAGAGTTGACTAGGGGCTGACCAAGGCTTCCTGTAGAACTGGTGATTTTGATGAAAGAATCTCCACAGGGTTCCCTGGACTGTGCTGGGGTGGGGGCAAGAGGGGGGAAAGGCTGGATGCTGAGTTTCTGTCCCAACAGGCTCAGAGTGGACCAGAGGGCCCTAGCCTCCAGCAGCTGCGAGGAACACCACCACACCACCAGCACAGCCCAGAAACAGCCAGAGGAAACCAGATACCCCGGCGTTCTTGGCAAGCGCAGCTTCCTTGGTTGAGCCCAGTGGCTTCAAGGCCCTCTCTTTGAACAGCCACCTTCTGAAGGCCTGGCCCTCTCCAATCTGCACCAGTTTGTGGGAGAGGAAGAAGTGGCCTAGTTCTCCATCTGTCCTAATCCTCTCAACAGCCTGGTTGAATGTGGCAGTCCCTAGTGGAATGACAAGCTCCCGACCCTGAGGAATGGAGTCTTGTTTCCATGGGTGGTGGTGGTGGGGTCTACAGGGTAAGTATGGTGTAGCCCGGCCCATGGCACTCAGTCCTGGTCAGCTGGAGGCATTCCTACCTTGCTACAGCTTGGGAGCTCAAGCCTGGTGGTGGTGGTGGTGGGGGCGGCAGCACAGGAAGTCCCTCAGTAGGGGTGCGACCATCCCACTGGAGTGAGGAAGTAGTGTGTTACAGGAAAAGGCTCTGGGCAGAGGATTTTAAGAGAGTGGATGCTCCACAGGATAAGCGGTTTTGTTTAGGTTTGGGTTGTGACTCTGTGCCTGCGGCAGCGTTTGGTACATAGTAGGTGTTTAATAAACAGATTCTGAAACAAAGGGGCAGGGAAGGAGAAGTTGAACCTAGGGTGGATGTGTGAAACAGCCTGGTTGGTCATTCTGGGATCTGACAGTATAGTAGACTACCAGGTGGCAGAAGCGGTGGTGGGTGGGGCTTAGCCGAGGGAGTGGACTGATCTAATCTATCGTGGGTGGTGTCACTTTCTTATCGCTTCACCCAGCCAGCAGCTAGCTACTTCAGGCCCGGGGTGGGTTTTTTTTTTTTTTTCTTTGGGTCCCCTGGTGTCCTGGCCTGTTAGAATACACACAGGTATGGAACCTGTGCTGGGTTCAGGAGACACACTGATGATTCAGACCTAGGTCTTACCTTTCTGTCTGGTGAGGAGACAGACAGTAAACAAGGGACTTATACAATGGGCACGGTTGATGCAGGGCTACTGTGCAGGTTCAATTGAGCAAATGAGACACAAGCCAACAGCATCGGGAGCAGGGATGTTTGGAAGGAGGTATCTGTGGAGGGAGTGCGAGTCTTTGAAGAACGGTTGACAGAAGGGGCCTGAGGTGGGAGGCATTCCAGAGAGAGGTGTCAACACAAAAATGTGCTCCAAGGGAAGTAGGGGGACTCAGTGGGGAGAGATAAGTTGTGGGCAGACAGGCCACCTATGGGTGTTTGGGCTTGCTTCTGACCTTACTAGATTCTGGGTAGCTGCCAGATGCAGCATGCTAGCCGGGGCTACAGAAAGGTTCGGTTATGTGGACTCCCCCTTTCTCTCGACAGCCAAGGGCTAAGACACCTCCCTCTGATCTCTCTGCCACTAGCTCCTTTGGCTCCACCAAAACCTACCAACCCACTTGGAGCCTCACACTGTCAAGCCTCCACAAAGGGCAGACCACAGGGACTCGGAACAAACACCACCCCCCTCTTCCTCTAACACACGTCCAGGAAGGAGGGGCCAGACCTTTTGCGAGCGAGAGAAAAGGCAAGAAGAATTCTAGCCTGGTGGAACATCAGACTATCAAAAGAGATTAAAAGACACCTCCCCCTCCCCAATAAAAACCCCTTGCCAGCTGACAGGCGAGGAAGTGGACATGTAAGTGGCTCTGAGGCGCCAGAGCCCTGGGGCTGCAAAGGCACGGCCAACTCGAGAGTGCCTGACTGTGGGCCCCCGAAGGGCAGCGCCTTCCCTCCCCCAAGACTCAACGGGTCCTCTTAATCTGCGGGCCCTGCAGACACCAGTGAGTCAGGCATCTTGTGAGTCAGTGTGTTGACAAGCCATCCCTGGCCATTCCTAGCCCATCAAAAATGGAAGGAAGTCCAAAGGAAGGGTATGAACAGACCGATTTAATTAGCGCGGGCTCTAAGGTACCTTAAGTTGGCCCTATTAAATTAAACCGCCTAGGGGAAAAATAACTAATTATTTCCTTTTCTCCCCTACCATTGTATTTTAACTCCCAATCTTTATGCTTCTCCCCTCCTTGATAAAAAAACAACCTTTAAACTAGGGGCTGGTACAGCCATCCCCCAAACTAGGGCTCAGTGTTTCCCTTTTTCTGCCGTTCTTCCGTCTGAGCTCTGGTTCCTAGCAGAGAACAGAGTCCAGAGGGGTCCACGGTGTCAGGCTGTCTTCTAATTTAAGGAGGCTGTTAAGAGCAGAATATTATCCAAAAACGCACCCTGTCCTTCTTGAACCAGTGCAGATCCATTTGCTGCGGGGCATTTCTTTTAAAAGCCCCTTTTTTCTGCAGAGCAAAATAAGCAAACTTTAATGGTAGGGAATTATTGTTTATTTTGTTGAAATCTAGTTCTGAGTTTTCCTACTTGAAACGTGTTTTCCCCAGGACACTGACCTATCCTTTAATTGTTTGGTGCGAGGCATGTTAGGGGGAGGGGCGTTACTTGTTTATTGGAACAGCGCAGTTAAAAAAAAAATCAACCTAGGCTAACAGTTTCAAGGCTCCCCTAAAGATGTATCCAAACAGGCAACCAATCAGCGCTTACACAGCTTTTTCTGCTTGACTCTTTTAAAGAGACAGTGCCGACAGTGTTTTATCACATTTAAAGAGAACCGCGCTCTAAAAACAGTATGAAATGGGGGAACCATCCTTATTTCACCAGTTTCTGATCTGGAGTCCCCAGTGAGGTTACGGTGCTGGTTTTTGGGATCCTCGAGTGGACAGAAATGAGTCGGGAGCAAAAAGCTTGGTCACTCTGCCAACCCCCCATTTCCCATTGTACACCTGGGTCATTGACAATGGAAGCTTCCCCTCCCCCCACGCCCGACTCTAGTCCCCCCCCCACTCCCCAATTTAGCTCCATTTATTTGAAGTTTGAGATTTCTGCGGCGCGCATTCTGAGTCGCGAGGCGTCCAGGTGACGTCCCTCACCCAAACGGAACCCGTTCCCGTGGAGAAGGCGAGGGGCTAACTTGCCAGGGCTGGCAGATCTCAGAAATTTGGGAGAAATCCCTCTCCCTCCTTCTAGTCTAAGACCCTTTTTCTCTCTCGAGGT